TCACATGGAATATTAAACAAATTTTTTTTAAATTAAAATTTGAACTCTTGCACAAACAGCGCAAATAAAATTTTATAATCCATAGAGGAGTGCTATTTAAATTTAACTTTTAATTAGTTCAATAGCATTAATTTGATTAATACGAGAGAAAATTTAAAAAATTTATAAAATTTAAAAATTTGTTTATTATAAAATTTCTTATTAAAAAATATTTCAATATAAATATAAATTTTTATAATTTTTTAAAAATTATTTATAAATTTTATTTTGTAATTATTAAAATAGACTTTTCAAAGCTTTACATTTTAATTCTGAGATGACTCTCAAAATATATATTTATAAATAATTATTTATATTTAAATATATTTGGAGAGTAATCCTAATCTCAGAATTAAAATGTAAAGATTTGAAAAGTCTATTTTAGAGGACTTTTAAGGCATTTATTTGTCTATCTCACAACATTTCTATTAACTCATTTTTTAGGTCAAGCAAATATTTGTTCAGCTTGTTAAAGTCAATGTCGGAGTATCGCGGGATATCAGAAAGATTCTACGAAAGAATTTCCCTGAATATATATCTTAAGATCTTTCAAGATCCTTAAAGTGTAAAAAAGTATTTATTCAACAGACATCTAGCAGATATCTATAAATATGTTCAATAAAAAATTGAAGGAATTCTCTAAACGAGGAAATGAAAACGCGACAAGCCTCATTTCGAGAATAAAAGTCCATGACTTTTCGTGACGTGAAGATGCGCGTTAGTTTTTGCTGTCATTAATCCCGAAGCTATCACGGCGATGGTTTCTTTCCTCTATGTGGTCAGAGATTATAGATATATAGCTTCCTTATATGACGCGAAAAAACACGACAAGTAGGTTCCTCCTCGAGGTATTCGAAAGAAGAAATATGACAGTATTAATAGATTTATAAATAAAAAGATTCATAAGTAAAAAATTGAAAAATATAACAGATTAGACTCGTGGATCTCTCCAAATTATTAAACATAAGTAAAAAAATACTTTATACATATAAATTATAATTAATAATTAATAATAATAATTAAATATTATAAATTATATATATATATATATATATATATATATAAATAATTAATATATATGTATCAATGATTAAAATACCTCCTTTATAGAGATTTGATAAAATATAGGATTTGCTGTAATATTATTATGTGGTATTATTTCGCCTAAATGATTTTGCATGAATAGCAGATTTCTCAAAAGCAGGAATTTCCTGCCAATCAAGGCAAAATCCTCTTTCACGTTTCGTCTCTCAAATCAGCATATAACGCGGTATACAGCGCCTCGAAAAGGCTACGAGGCTTTGATTTACTCTCTCGTCCCTCATTCAAGACGACGTTACAGCAGCGCGTTTTCTCCTTAAATGGGCGCCCAACGTCTGAGCGACATTAGAGTTCTCGGTCAAAGCCAAAGTCATGATAAGGGGCTCCCCATCCTTGACATTTTCCAAGGAGATCGCAGCATCGTGAGAAAGATCAGGGGGAAAAGAAGGTTCGAAATAAACGCGATTCAGACTTTCCATTGTATCCTAACTCTCGTTTTGTGGATTATTGAAATAACAAGAATAAAATCAATGATGCACGTAATGGGATCATGTTGGGCGTTGAATAACCGAGATCTCAGATTCAATTAGAAAGGACAAGCATATGACACAGCATCATAAAGTCTTACTTACCGTCGAAGGTCGTTGCATTACATCGCATTCGTGCAATACTTACTATATATAACTATTAACTATAAACATGTTCTATAAAATTATATGGTTCAATATCGCAATAAAAAAAATTTCATGATTTAAATAAATGAATACTCAATACTAAATTTCGTGAAATTTTATGAAATTTAGTATTACGTACATATACATTATTTTATTAATTAGAATATTATTCATTATATAATGTGCAATCCAATTTTTGAACGTGTTACATATCGATTGTGCTGTGAATGCAAAAATTGTTAATGTTATGAGAGAGTTCTCGATTCAAATATATTCAAAATTTAATATGAAAGAAAGATGAGCTTTTGTAATATTAAATTTCAAACGCGGCTTAATATATAAAACTGCTAATTGAGATGGATAATGTACTTATATAAATTATGAAAACGATCTGATATATAGAAATATAAATTATATAAACGTTGCGCTCTGATAGCAGCATGTGTAATATTTATTTCTGTGGGAACGCTACGATCGATATGTTTATGTTCATTTTATAATTAAAATTCTTCATTATTCTCGATAATTCAAATGTGATATACTTGGTTTAATTCTTATGTTATACCAAGAATTCTTGATATATACGTGTGTAATAACTGTCTAAATGGTCTTATTATTAAGCATAATATATATGACAGCATGCACATAATTTGTGCACAAGAAAATGTTAATTTTCTCATAAATTGTTTATATAATGTTACAGATTATTTCGATGTATAGGAATAAAAGAAGAATGTGCAACTAAATGCGCGAATCATTTTGCATTTATTGCATTTTTGCATCGCGGCGAGCGTTACGAGCGTAAACTCCCATGCACGGAATTCAGCATGCTTCAAAATTGCATTGCGGTGCATTCCACGTTTCGTCCGATATTTTCCTGTCGATCGAAGGCCGTCGGAGCGATGCATACGCATCGGTGCAGCGGTTTCTCTCGCGCGTTTTCCGCGAAACAATGAGCGCGGAGGGGAACGTTGTTTCGCAATAAAAAGAACCTAGTTACCGTTATACTTCTCGCCGTGCGTATATAGCACGCTAGAATTCCTATCTTTAACGCAACGTAACTGCGCGAGCATCGTAATACTACTGCTACATCCGCGTCACCGTAATGGGATATGTACGCAATGTGTGTGTCTGCGAATTAAAATTGTGACAACACTGATGCAAGGACTGAGGAAGAGAAGGACACGATATTCTCCGTAATGTCATAACGTAACAGTAAAAATGTTATTTTGCCGATTCAATCGATTCTGATGTGGAAATAGTCGTTTCATTCCAACAGCAAGAATCCGATTGTGGCGAATCATCGACCAGGAGAATGTCCATATCGACAAATTTAATTCTCGGTAAATTTAATTTTACGTTTTATGAAACAATTTTTGTACGTTACGTAGAATTGTTACGGTGTAATCGATTTTTTTCTTCACAACGTGTAATGAAAATCTGACGAGGAATTTTGATAATGTCGATTATTCGATCGTTGCGAATGAAATATCAAATTCTGAACAATAAGAGAATATTAGAAATTTAAAAAATTAATATGATTAAATATACTGACAATAGAGAAACTTTTTCATAAGAAAATACGCAATACGCTATGTGACGTTGTTTGAATTAAAAAAAACGAGAAAAATCGAGAATGCTGACAAGGAAGGAGAGATTGTGGGTCAGCAACTCACCGCTATACACGTTCCACTTTCTCCTTTCTTCGGTTTTCGTAGAAGACCGAAGAAGGTCCATGACCGCGTAACTGGTTTTAGTCGCGATTATTATCTCAATGGAAATTCTTCCGTAAATGCTTCCGTTTTGATTCAAAATTATTCTGAATGTAAAATAAAATAGTATCGAATATAAACTGAGACGATAATTTAATATATCGAGACTTTCTCGTATTAAAATTATTTTATTCTAAAGTTTTTGAAATCTCATACATTTTTTATTTGAAAAAATAATACTTAAAAAAATCTCTTTTTTTTTGTCTTTAAATGTAAAAGTACACGTGTGTGACATGACGTGACGAGAATGACAATGTAATCTTCGACCTGCAGCTATACGCGGTCGGCCGTGTCAATTTGTAAGAACAAATGGTTAAACGCGAACGGCAATAGGAAAAACATCCTGGTGAAATCCGTGTAATCGATTCTTTATGCAAATGAGAGCCGCTGCGCGCCATTACAACGTGGAGAAGCCGGACTCACACGGATGTACGCACTAATCGATTCTAGCGATCGGAACGAGCCGAGAGAAGCGGAGCTTTGCGAGGGATTACTACGATTATCCGAATAATTACCTCCGGAGTTTCGGGGACGGGCCGGCAAATAAAGCCGGCCTCGATCGTCGATGAATTCGTATTCCATCTGTGCATTCAGTTACGCCAGCTGACATTGCTGCGTATAATCGACATCGTGTTCTTTCCTTCTCTCGCACACAAGCTCTTACATCAATCGATAGAACAATAAATTCACCGGAACAACAAAAAGCGAGATTATTTCACGGTATTGCAAAAAAATTATTAGGTACTATTCTTTTTATGTTCGACGAATCTTCAATTTTGTGGGATTACCGAAAATCATTACTCTCTTCGTTACGATTTAATATATATGTCTCTCGTCCATCGCGAAGATCCGGTTAGTTTTTAATCTCGTTTAATTCGAGTCGCGTCGCTGCCGATTTGTAGCGGTGAATGTTAATAAAAGAAACAAATTAACCGATCGCTACGGTCCGATAAACAATGAACTGTTCGTTTTTTTCCGTTTACGTAGCTATTAAATATAGTTTATTGTGAGGAATTCCAACAACGTTCCGCCCGCTCATGTTATCTTTTAAAAGATCGCGAATTGTTTTGTGGCAACCGGATGGAATTGAAATGCGATATGGAAATTGAAATAAAAATTGAGAATTCAATTTAGTAATTTAGTAATTCTGATGAGTTCAGCAGCGCGATTTAGTAATTCTGATAAGATCAGATTTTTATTTTTATAAAGACACTTTTCTGTATGTGTATAGAAATGATTTATGATCGATTTATTTGGCGCATAAATAACGCACAGAAAATCACGGAATAAGATTGCACGATAAAATGCATATCGAGCAAAAGCACGTGTGCACAATTTATTTTGCACTTAATTCGCATGTTTTCATAGTATCATGGTATCAAAGAAAAAAATTACGATAATTATATCGCTTTTAGCAATTTTGAAAGAGAGAAGCAGTGATGAAAAAATTAACAAGGCAGTAATAAAGACTCACCGAGCGCCTTGCAGCTTACACCGTGCAGGGAATCCCCGGCAAGCTGAATGATGGCCATGAGAATATCACCCATCATCAGACAAGCGACATGATGAGTCTGGCAACGCCAGTGCAAGACGTGATGAGAAGCGGGTAACAGCCAACCGGCCGCCAGGGTGGCGGCCAGGAAGATCGCGCTAATGATGAAGCCCACAGGATACAGGGTGAACCTGATGTCCGTCGCATGAATTGCAGGTCTACAAAAATTCAAATATACTACATTTCAGGCATATCTTAGGGGTCTGATATCAGCTCTTATCTCAAGTTTATTCGATATAAAAAGAGAACATACAATCATTACATTTAAAAGCAAACAATTGCAAAAGCATCCTAATTGTAATCCAAATGTTCTTAAAAATGTATTGTACAATATATAAGACATTCTAATCTTCATTTAAACGTTCTTTACATGTGTTTGAAAAAATTGTCAAATATTAAATTTTATATTATTATTATGACATTATATACACATTATATGTAATCGATAAAAGATATAATTTTTCCATGTTATGATATATACATATGTATAATCCTTCCTACTTAAATTAAATTTTAGATATTTATTCGGGCAAAACCCAGGAAATATGATATTACTTTATCATAGCATTGCATATACATATACGTTCAATACATATGGATTAATATGCGTATTAAATAACGGAAAATCATTTAATTAGAATCACTATGATATTATGCTTTATTATGTGTTCAGATATTAATGGAAAGCCCAAATGAACACAATTCAGATTTACGTAACAATTAGCAACAATCTCCAAACCCAAACAATATGCAATTTATTAATAAATCTCGCATTAATGATAAATACATAAAAGTAACAGTTGTTATTGAATAAATCTAGATATTTTCGCGCGAAAATATTTTTCTCATGAATTATACTTTTTTAGTTTAAATATTGCTATGTAATTTTTTTCTTAATACGTACACAGCCGCGCAGGAAATGAAAGTTATCATACATTTAAAACTCGGCATACTGTGTCGATATTTTCCGCTATCCGCAGGCAAAAAGCCACGGAAGAAAAAGACAAATTATGGCGCTATTAGTTATTTCTCGCGCTGGACGGATTAATTAAATTCGGGCAGTTTTATCGGCGTCACATCGGCAATTGTCCGATTGGCTCACTGCCAGCGGTGGGCAGTGAGCCAGATATTCGATCGGTCCTATATAATGGAAATAATACCGCGTTATCGATGATCGTTACGTCCGTTTTTAATTAAGATTCCTAAAAGATTCAGGCAAAACAATTTTTCATCGCGACTAACGATCTCTCGATGTAATTGCATTTGGGTCGGGCAAATTTCCGTTTTCGAAATCATTTGTGGTGGCTTCGATTCGTATCTCACTATATTTGCATTGCGTTAATATATCGGGTGAAAGAATATCGCGAAGAAAGTATCTCTATAAAATTTCCATAAACTTTATTCAGTTGCGTTTATAGAAATTTCCGTAGAACAAAGATTATGCATCGCAAGAATAATGTTCTTTTGTAAGAAATACAAAAAAATATGCATTGTACTTGTGATTTATCGCAAAATCTGTTCAATCGCATCGCGTTCCAGATGCAAATGACACGAGCTTTTATTCGTAGATGGTTAAAGATTGATTGAATTCCATTTTAAGAAAAAGTCGCAATAACTCACTACTTCTATACGCGAATGCAAAAACCGATAGCATCCGGTCGTATTTTGTTTCCATTGATTGGCGTTCGTTGGAGTTGTTCGTTGGCGAGTAAATTTTTCACGGGAAACGGAATGTCAACGATCGGCCAGCCCGTATTTGTGTCTGTACAAACGCAAATATGTAGAATGCGAACAAAATACAGGCGTACTACGTACGCAACAAAATTGGTTCTGTACAGACGCGTTAATCGCATTTCCAATGTTACTTTGTACATACACCTACCGGCGATTAAACTTTTGCAAACTGCCATATATTCTCCCGGCAATTTCGCAAACGTCGACGCGTACCGAGACTTCGAATCCGGGAAATAAACACGGGAGACCGTTCATTTGTATATTTTACGATAATGATACGTTCTCTGTTTAGAAATTCACTCTATATTATATATATGTAGATATATATTATTATATACACAATATCACATGACGCTGTCGCGTCTCTAGAGTGAAAGCAAACTCTCGGATATCTTTTACTATCAGCGACGCCCGTCAATCTGTCACAGTTCGTCCTTAATCTTAGTGAAGTGTCTCAGCAAATGAGATCTTCTAATCTTATTTTATGTCATACGTCAAACAGATACCGTAAACGTTTAAACTTGACAATAATTATATGTCACGCGATGTGGAATATTGCTGATTTTTGCAATATTTAAATAAATATAATCTTATACATTTATCTTTGTTTTTAGAATAATTCTAGATAGATTTAAAGATTTTATCAGAAATTATTATAACTCAAATTGATTGATTAAAATAAAAATACCATTTTTTTAACACAATGAAAATGTTAAAAAATATTAATATGCAAGTATCTTTTTGAATCTATTTATCTTTTTTTTCACTATTAACGCTTTTTCTTCAAAGTTTAGAGAGAAAAAATTTCCTCCATTATATCAAAATTCTAAAAGCAGAATATGTTAACTTTATACAAGTATGACGAGGCCATTTTTCTTACATAACATCATCCGGATAGAAGCATTTTCATCGCTCATCGTTCTGATGCGCGGAAACGCGGTATCGAGTTGTGAGAACGTTTTAATGGAATCTTGGATGACGTGAGATCGGGCATACGTGACCTAGAAATACTTTGAAAGAACTATAAGAGAAGAAGTGAAAGTGTGCGAGGAACCGGACTTTTTCTCGACATATTGTCAAGAGTGACGTAGAAACGGAGCCGTTTTATTCCTAGCGTAATCATCTAACGTCAAACGTGTAATTAAACCGTGCGATAAATTCAGATCGGTGCAAGCGATAGTTAACAGGACAAAAAGTAGAATCGTGCTCGGAGCTTTAAAGCAGATCGAACGACTTGACCGCCAGAATCGACTCGACTTTATTCTTTATTAGTTGTGATGATCAAGCAAACAAAAATAACAGAAGATTGACTTTGCATAATTGAGAGATCGAGTATCGATTTCCTGCGTTTTACGCTTGATATCGAGTTATCAATTAAGATAGCACGCTTTTGGAATATATAAATGTATTAATTTTATAGCACAACATGAAAAACATTAATAATTTGGAAAAATGTTGAAAAAAAAATGTTTATTATAGACATTTTCTTGGCTTGCAAAATGTCTGTTGGAAAACAAAAGAATATTATTTTTTATATGATTGCCATATATTTGTTTTCTCATTCAACTAATTATACATATACAATTATTAATATAAACAATATAAAATCAACGTCATAATACAATGTGATAAAAATAAAACTATTGTCGAAAAACAAATCTAGCAAATAACGAATAAGCAGAGAGAAGCACGATAGGAATCCCTCAATTATTTGAAGGTTTTATGCGTTTATTTGAAGACTTCTACAAGCAAAAGTAAAAAACTTACAGCGTTTTACTACGCGCGTTGCGATACTATCTCCATAAGTGGAATATTTCGTTCTTTTCGTTATCTTCATTTGTGTGGATCACATTGTAACGTCCGACGAAACAAAAGGCGCAGCAAGAATGAGAATATCGCAACGCGTGAGCGCACGATAATCTTAATCTTAATGTACAGCTAACAAACTACAAACCTTTGTGGCGCATGTTCCGGACAGGCAAACACCTTGGCTATCTGGTTGAATTCTTTGATTCTCTCGACACAAAACTGGCCGGTAGGTAAAGCGACGCCGTTTATCTCCAGACCACCATCAGGCTGCAACACAGCATCCTTCGCATCTCCCAGGATCGTAAAATTGTCGGATTTCGGGCAAGTTGGAAATCCCGCCACAATTTCAACAACAGATGACACGTTTGGCAAGAGAGGTGGTGCGTCTGCAGTTTCTTTTAAATGAATGCAAGTATTTCTGCAACATCAAAAAACATTCCCCTTTGTTACAAAACTTGTTTAAAAAATGAGATAATAATAATTGCCAATGAAAAATATATATTATATTTTGTTTTTAAACAATATAATTGTGTTTTTGCAGCGTTATTATATGCATACGTATAGATCAAAGTATATCATTCAATAATTAATGATGATAATTAAAGATGCTACAGAGAAGATTTTGTTCCTAAAATTATTTAAATATAAACTCAAGAAATATAGATGTATATACGTTATTTTTTATTGTAACATCATTGCCCGCATATATTCTTAATATTCATAATTCGAAATATATCATTATATATTGTAAAAATTGTACACTGAAAAAAATTGTTAACTTGACTGAACTTTTCAACTAATCACTATTTTGTCAATTACACATATTTTATTACTTAAGTTAAATACATATTTTATTAGATCTAATGTTATATTTAATTTAAATTATTTTTATACATTCATCAATTAACAAAATATTATTTAATTGAAAGTTTGATCAAGTTAATTTCTTTTTCAGTGTGCAAGTTTTGAATGATTAACAGACTTATGTGTTATACATAATATATTATAGCTCACATATGTTACGTTAGAATTTATTACAGAACTAGTTCGCGCGGACGTCAACATTCTCGAATGAAACCAGAAACTTGCACGTTTCATAAACGTCAAGGTCATACTGCGTGCATTTCTTTGAAGAAAGGCATCTGGTAAATAAACAAGTTATTATACGAAACAATTAAGTCGAAGATTAATAAACATTTTATTAAAGAAATAAACCATCAAAGTCCTGTGTCTATTCACCTCAATTTATATATATATATATATCGAAGATATAGTAATTATTTTAGAGCACTATAATAATTATTTTTAGCTACTAAAGAAATATATTATTTTCGATTATAAATAAGCATGATCACGATGCTATACATTTATTCCGAGGGATTTGTTTATGTGAAGTGTTTAAAAAAAAAACATCTCGTCAAGTCAATTTCAAAAGACCTTGGTGTAACCGAGCGGGGTTTGTGTCTCGCAGCAACCTAACCTAACTTAACCTGTCCGTTCTGTTTGACATCGTCGAATGTCAACAAAAAGCACGAAAGTATGCGGGGCTCACCCGTGTTCGTGGAAAGTGGCGTTCTCGCCACAGCATCGTCGTACTCGGGGCCTCATCGTCGCGGCTGCATGATTACTCGTCGATTTTCTCTGCACGCACACGAGCAACGCGTTGGAATCGGCGCAATAGTGGCTGGCAGGAAAGTTGACGCTGCTGGCGATCTCGAGGACGGCGTTCCCGTTTTCGAGCAGGATAAACGGGTTGGTCTTCCGGAAGGGCACGTGGATCAGCTCAGAATGATCGTCGCATTCCGGTCTTCGGTCTTGGAGGATGTGCCATTCGATGGGCAGCGTATCGATGAAGATTTGCCGCTGCGGTGAATAAATCAAGGGCTTCCATGGGATGAGCGTCTGCTCGCAACGCGGCAGTTTGTTGTCGTTCGAGTCGCCGTCGGATCGTAACTCCTCATCGGCTCGACAACACTTAAGAATTGTCACCTTCGTCAAGTCGTTCGGCTCAGACACGACGATCATGACAATCGTCGCCAGAAATCCGACGCAACGAAAAAGCGGGCTCATTTTACCGGGAATCCGCGATTTCACTCTTGTACGTCACACGAAACACCGGTCAGTCAGTCGGGTCACCTTAATCGTCACGAAATAAAAATTCGGAAGTTCGCCGTGAATCACACTGAATAAACTGTTTCTCCAAACACAATTTCGCACTCGATACACAATACGCACAGCTAATCGACCATGGTATTATCTCGCGACGCGAACAGGAGTGATCGAGGCAGTCAAAATTGGGAGAGAATTGAATCGTATACAAAGAAAACTATTGTGTTTATATGGACGCTCGTCGAGCGCGCCCTTCTCGTTTAGAAGCTCCGGCGTTACTGAGCGGCGACCACGCGGCACGCGGCACCGACGCCGGCAGCGTGACTCGGATGCGCGCGCAGCTTCCTCCACTCCTGCGACTTTAAAGTCACCACGCGCGCGCTTGCCTTCTTTATTCCGCGGTGAACTTCCGCGCAGCGTACTAACGGGAGGATGTACTTGCGGCCACGTGCCTTTATCCCACTATCGCGCACTAAAAACGCAACGGTATATGTTATCTTGTTTATAATAATGAATTGGACTGCTGCGATTTTCGATCAAATGCTATCTGAATCGGAGATTCGTTGCAGTATTTCCTTTTTCATTAATTTCCTTAAAATTTTGGAGAAAATAAAATGTATATCAATGCGAAAACTAATTTTTCTTATCGATATAATAAGATTTATCGCTATAAAAGACACTTTTACGATACGAAAGATTTTAAATATTTATGTATGTAGATTTTTACATGTATATATTTACACACACTCCCAGAAATATAATAATAATATTAGCAATAACAAATTCAAAGACGAATACAATATTCGAAGAATTCGAATATTTCATAATTATACACAGATAATAATTGTGGGGTAAAATATATTTGATTAATTTTACTATGTAAAATTTATTATTAATATTTTTTATTGTGATAAAAATATTAATCAGAGAAAATCTTATAAAATTCTTTCAATATCATATTGTTCCGCGACTACCATGACTTTCAGGATAAATTCTAATAGAAAATTCTGTCTGTGTAGATATAAAGTTAGGTCGAAATTTAAATAATAGGGATATATCTTCAAAGCAAAACATATAGGTGATTTGCGAATTAAAATATGAAGAACTATATATTTATAGATTTGGATGTTTTTAAATATTTCCAAACTGTTTCATAACAAAAATTTTAATGTTTTTCTAATGCTTGCTTTTGCATACAATTTTATATTGAAATTGATCTCGAATAAACGCGCAAAAATTCTTTTCAATATATTCAGAAAATCAGAAGAAATTTTTACAATTTACGTGGAAGTTTTTCGCGACAAATGTCGAGAAAATATCGGCGGAAAATATAAAAAGAGAAAGAGAGAGAAAGAGAGAGAAACGAATTGATGCGACTTGAAATATACACTATACTGCATGACTAAGCGCAGATCCTGCAAGATATTTCTGAGAAGCGTCTCTCTGGGTGGGAAATCTGTGGGAAAATATACAGCCATGTTCTCGCCTGCGTGCACCGGTATCTTGGCAGGGCAAACGTCATTCCGTGTAACACACGAGCCGATATCGGGATGCGCTCTCTCTCTCTCTCTCTCTTTTCTCTCATCTGGACTGCGTATGAAGCTTCCTGGATTGGCTCACCTGGCAATACGACTTGTTTTTGTTTGGCGAAACAAAAAGGCGAAACAAATAGAAAAATTTCTCAGTCATGCTAAGGTCGATGATGATAATGATACTGAACTAACATAACGGTAAATAAGATCAACTCTATAAAACACGCAAGATACGAGAGAGTGAGCTTGGTGTAACATCTTTTCGTGTGTGGGAAGTGCATCGTTTTATATATCGCTCGTTGAGTATAATTTATACTTGAGCTAGATGGGAAATAAATATAAATGTGAGCACAAATAAAAACTATTGCATTATTTTTTAAAAACTTAATGTACAAAGAATATAATGCACTTTTATATTTTACATATACACAGTATAAAAATTGAAATTTTACAGAAAAATAATTAAAAAATTAAAGATCTTATAACATTATTTGGATAATTTTCCGCATAATGTGTTCTTAGTTCTTATAATAAATATTACACATAAAACTTATAATATTGTATATACTATAATACATATAGCATTAGAAAGAATTTCAATTTAATATTAATCGATCGAATAAAAGCATATTTAACAAAAATTTAGGACACTTTAACTCATTGTCAGATATACAGATATATAAAATCAAAATACGTAAAATTGTAATATTGTAACAAAATTATAACAGCAGAATATTGTAAAATGTTTTTAAAACAATATAACTTTCGTTTCGCCAATATTTTCTAGCGAACGTCGTAGTTTTTCATTCAATTTTTCTTGCGAGAGCTGCTCTGACAAAACAGTCGTTCAAGTCGACCGGAAATGCTTTAAAAAGTTCCGCGAGAATAATTTTAGCGGGACGCCGCAATTAAACTTTTTCGCCATCTCGCGACAGCGAAAATTGGAAATTTGTGTTCTCGCTACGGCGGTCTACCAGTGTTTGCGAAATTTTATCAATTAAAATATCGTTAATGTCCATATCGCTTGGTTCAGACGCTCGTTAAAAAGCGGACTTGCACAAAGATGATAACTGCTTAGATGAGCTTTTCTTGTTCTAGTTTGGTATTTTTTCCGAGACTTAAGAATACAGCAAGTCTAGCATCGATTTTTATAAGGACAATATTTTTATAAAGGCAATTTTTATACGGACAGATTTTTATAATTGCATCATTATTAAATGGTACAACATTTTGATAATTTTCCATATTATTACTAGAAATGGAATATTTAGTTTTGTGATAATAATAATAATTTAATAAAGAAACAAACACACAATGTAATAGAAACATCTCATACAACTTTTCAATCAATTAAAATTAAAACATAATGATTATAATTGTTTTAAATTTATCTTAGATTTATTGGATTCATCTTTAAAGATATGTTATTTATTAATTTTATACGATCAATGTATTTTTTCTTTGTTGAAATTTATTGAAAAAAACTTGAAAAAAATGAAATAGAATTTAAATTACATATTATAATATTATAAATTTGATTGAAACCATAACAGAATTACTTATATAGTAAATTTATTAATTAAAGTTTGTAGGCTTAAAATTTATTGGTATATAATACGAGAAAGTTTAGAAAAATATTTTCTGCCTCTCACGTTTTATGAATGTTGTATTAAAATAATTTTATCATAAAATGTAGAAAAATTTAATATGGAGGGAGAGAGAGAGAAAGAAAGGAAGGGAGAAAAGCGGATATATCAACATAAAATATTGTGTAGCTCTACCATATATAGAACACACAATTATGATCTGAAATTCTATTAAATTAATCAAATTTGTCAAATTTGAAAGTAGGAACTGCCGAATGTTTTCTGTGACAGAAAATATATCGAGTCATTTTCCAAAATTTCATAGCAACGTGCAGGGATGTGTGCAGAGGTTAATAGAATGGCACGAAATTTAAATGTTGGAAGGAAGGGGGGACGTAGCAGAGCAGAGCACGGCATCACGTAAATCACAGCGATTGTCGGTGTTTCTGGGTGTTTCGCGTGTAAGTTATAGCGCGCCCGCGCGCTTTCGGATGCGTGAGCGTGCGTTCGTTAATAGGTTTGCACGTGCGTGTCCCTAAACGTAATACCGATTTTATCTATCCCCCTTGTCTATGCAGACCGGTCGGACGAATGAGAAGGGTAGAGAATCTGGCGGCGACCAGACAGTTTGATGCAGGTTGCTCGGTTGCGTTCCCGGAAGTCGAAACTGCGAAATCGTCCGGCCGATTGATCGCTAATCGTTAAAAGCAATCGGCTAAAACATGTCGCGCATATCTGTAAAATAAAGTGTTATCGATGATGTTGCGCCGCGCGCGTTTCCGCTACCGAGTTGCGAAAGATAATCGAATCCGGAGTAATTTTGCTTCGGTAATGAGGGGTTGCAATGTAACTGCGACGTGGTAAAATACTGCGGCGCATGTTGTAAACAACGCAATACCATAATACCATGCGGATGATATTTTATCCTGTTGTATCTTTTCGAGATAATTGAATATCAATGTTATTGCGACATTGTCCGCGATGCTCGGATTATATAATAACATGTAATGAAACGCGATGTATTCCAGTCAGAAATTAACTGTTATTGATATACATGTAACTATTATATATATATATATATATATATATTTATATATATTTATTTTAGGAAATATATAATATAAAATTGATCAATTTTGTCTTATATAGGTATATACTTTTTTTAAATGTTGAATCGCTTTTAAGACTATACAGTCCAATTTGCTTCGATCCAGTGTGTTATGCAAAATATTAAACTTTGCATTTCTTATAAAAAAATATTCCATGCAAATTATAAGGTTTAATAAATATGCATTACATATTTTATTCAAAATATTAAAAATTATATTATTGTGTAATTTGATATTTTATTTTAGATTATATTCAAAAGTGTGTCGTGTGATTTGAACATGCTATAAATTATAAATTTTAAAAAATCATGCTATAGAAATTAGAGTTAAAAAATTGAACTAAATATATTTTAAAGTGGTCGAATTTCTATATAAACGTGGAATGTTTTTAGATTTTTAAGAGTAATTGTGTTTTCGTATAAAATAAATATTGCGTAAATACTTGCATATAAAACTATATTTGCACTACAAAAATCATGTTATATCTTCAATACAAATGTATTATATGTACATTATGTATATTTTTTTGAAATATACATATAAGATGATGCAATTGAGCTAAAATTTAGTTTTGAAATGATTAGAAATATAATAAAAATTGTAACGCGAAAAAATTAGAATACTAATCTTTGAGAAACTTGCTTTTTTCACATTGAAAGAAATTTGGAATAATTTTCTTTATATTTATTTTGCTAACAGACGTATAATATATATACATACATACATACATACATACATATATATATGTATACACACACACATTAAAATACATTATTAGTTATTAAGTATTAATTTCTTATATATATATATATGTTAAATAAATTAATACTTAATAATAACTAATAATGTATTTTAACATAAATGAAAAATATAAAGTAATTTGTAAAGTATTTTTGAATAATCTTACCACAATATTTTTATATGTAAATTAATAAAGAAATCATTACTTTTTGTACATATGATCAAAATTGTTATATCCTAAATAAAGTGTAATTATACTTTACAATTGCACGCGGATACATTAACGCAGAATTGCGATAACAAAATACAGAAGAAATTATTTAATTTTGCTTTATAATATATTCTATTTCTAATCGTTTATTACAATCTATATCTTGTTATTATAAATATTACCTATATCTTAGTTAAAATCTGTATATATGATAAAAATATTTTATGTTAATTTCTATGCTTTATATATATGTAGCAAATTCATCTTTCATTAAAAATAAATACTTATTGAAAGTTAGTTATTATCTTATTCTGTAATATGATAGTACATTTCGGAAATAACACATAATGTAAAATTAAAACAATGTGATAATCATAATGTAAAAATCATTACAAGTCAACTTGTATGTTGTGTGTGTACTTCTTATATATTTAAAATTACTTAAATATTTCTGTTATTAATGTTGTATATATTTATATTGTTTTTGTGTGTGCATGCGCTAATGTGGAGTAATCTCATTCGTACTATTTATTAATCTTTCTTCTATACCTTTATGCACATATATTAGTTTGGGCCCAATCATGAAGTAACTTACGGTGTATTTTTCCGTTAGGAATGCGTGGGAATTGGCTAAGGAATATCACATCCGCGCAAAGTTTAAACTTATCTCTCAAATCGTTTACAATCGACTGTTTTAGCTTCTTTTCTGTTATCTGAGACGAAATATCATAAATATTTTGTAAAAAATTCTGCTTGATATTTTATGACAAATAATACTTTTGTACCTTTTTTGTCGGAGTAACAAATGCTATTGCATGATTAGGATTGCATGGCACAGGGATTATAACGGCCTCAGACACTCCTAAACAATCTTGTAGAAAAGATTCAATGTATGCCGGTGAAATTGTATGTGTTTTGTCAAACATTTGATTAATTCGGTCAGTAATGTAAATTTCGTTATTTGAATCGTAATACCCCATATCTCCGGTTCTAAACCAGTTTGAATTTTTCCCTATACAAATTCAGCAACACACAAGTATGATTTTTTTCATTAATAATTCAAGATTTTTTAAATATTTATATTTTATAGAATAATAATTGTGAATCATCGCTTGAAAAAAATTTTGAACTAATCACCGTCGCATGTTATAGGTTCATTATTCTGACGTATCATCATGAACGGAGATTGGCAATAGATTTCACCTTCTTCATATGGACCCAATGATTTCCCGTTTTTTAAAGAAACAATTTTTAATCGAACATTTTTATTCACATTACCGTTAGATCCATTATCTATAAGTCTATTTTGGCGCTGACAAGCGATAATGCCTGTTTCAGTTAGGCCTAAAATACACAAAACTCGATTTTACACATTATCACATTATTATTATTACCCATCTAATTGTAATCGAAACGAATGTATATACTGTAAGCTTGAATAATTATAGTTTTTGGTAATAATAGTTTAAGGTCTTCATCAATAAACTTTGAATTGAGCGTCGAACCGCTATATACGATTGTTCTCAAAGAGGAAACATCATATTTCGTAAGATTGTTAGATTTAATTAATTGGATGCACATACTAGTTTCAAGAAACATCCAAGTCACCTGTGAAATGTTCGAATATTTTATTTTTTTAAGCTTTACGTTTGTATTTCATATTTCATATATAAAAATTTAAATATTTTACCTTGTACAATTCTATTAGTTGACATAACGTTTTTGTATCGAAATTCGACTTAATCTTAATTACTTTTACGTTCAAAAGAATAGCCTGAATAGTCATGAATGCGCCGTTGATAAAACCTAAAGAATCGAACCATAAAGCGACATCATTTAGATGCCAATCGAGTTCGTACTGATCCAAACCCATGAAAGCTGAACAAGGAATATCTACATTTTTGGGAAGAGCAGTTGTACCCGGTGTAAATAATTTCATTGCAGTTTCCTTCGTTTCTACCATAGAGCAACGAAAATTTTCAATTTCCGACGGATCATAACTTTTATTTATAATTGATTTAAGACTTAAACTACTATCTTGGTCAGCATTGAAAAATATTATTTGTGGTAAATTTTTATGACTTGTTTCATATATAGAATGAATAATTGTCGAATACTTTTCATCTATAAAGATCATTTTTGGCTTGCTTTGCTCTAAATAATAAACTGAATTTCCTATAAGTAAAAATAAGAATTTCCTTTTTATTAAAAAAATAAATTTGTGTAAGTCTTAAATAATAATTAAATTGATCTATATATAAAAATATAACGTGAAAATAAATTATATAAAAGATGAAAATGAAAAATACATTAATATACCTTTGAAAAAATGCTCATCCAATGGATTTACAACAGCTCCGAGATACAGGGACGCTAGAAATGGAATGCAAGCATCTAATTGATTATGTGAGCATATCATTATTACATCATTACGTCGAATCTTTAACTTTTTCATCTCTAATGCACATTTCAAACTTCTCTCTTTCATCTGCTGGAATGTATTTTGTATTCCTGTTTCCGCATCTTCCTACACATCAACTGCATTACTATCAAATGATATAACTAATATCTTCTATCTAAGAACTTTGCATGGTTTTGCATTGTTAATGTATATTAACTAGTTTTCATCTACATTTATGTCAGTGTAAAAAAGTAAAACAGCTTTTATTATTAAAGTATATACCTGGCCAATAAAATTCGGATTAGATTCAAACATATCCAAAATTATATTTCCAATATTTCCTTTATACTCTCTATGTGCTTTATTGTATGGATTCCAAGTTTTTTCTCCTTTTAAAATTTTTTGTTTTATGTTGAATGGAACAACTACTTGATTCTTCAGAAGTTACATATTATTAATTACACTTTAGTTACATATATTTTAAATTATATAAAGTATTTCTTATTGTTACCTGACGCAGTATTTTGTCGGCCATACTATAATTTTTTTACGTTTTTATATATTATTCCACTAAAAATATATGAGAAATAAAACTATTACAAGTATAAGAGATAGCACTGTTTATATCACAACGGGCATTGCGTGATTAAATTTTGAATTCAATCGATATAATATAGTTTATTTTCACGAAGCAACCTTGGGGTATAGAAGAAAATATTTTGCTAAGAGACGAGAAGAGGCTTTATTGAGAGTTATCACAATGTGATATATAATAGCTATAAAACGTCATGTATTTACTTAAACTTTCGTTAAAAGTTTATAAACAGTAAGGCTTTTTACCAATGTATTAAATTAAATCTCCGGTTAAACTATATCTTTGTCTCTTTTTAAGAAATTATTTGAAAAGAGACAAAAATATAGTTTAACCGGAGGTTTAATTTAATTGACGTTGATAGAAACGGGCCTAAAAAGAAAAGAGAGATTAATTACGTAACATGTTGAGCAATAAGGATTTTCAATTTTATCATTATGTTATAAAAACTATTTTTTCTTTGTTAAAACAGTCAGGGATAACAAAAGGAATTTGCATCGAATACTTTGATCATTCAAATAATCCTTTGAAATTTAGAACTTTAAATATTTATGATGTCTTTTTATCACTTATAATTTTCTAACCAAGTTTTTTTTAAGTTATACGTTAAAAAAACGTGAAAAAATTAATATTTAACAGTATACGTATTTTTCAAAACATCGAAAATTATATAAAATTATTAATACAAATTAATTAAAAATTTTTTAACTATAACATATTTTAGAATAATCAAATTTTATAAAAATTTTTATAAAGTTTCGAAAAATTCGAAAAATTTTGAGTTTTTATACAAAATGCATTTTATAACTATTTACATGCAAAATGTTTTATTGTATGATAATTATATTTTTGTTACTAAAGTTTTAATAGAGTATAAATATATTTTCTAAATATATAGAAAAATGTAATTAACTCATTGTCACAATTGAGCTAACAAAATATTTTATCTTAAATTATCGAGAAGAGAAAATGTAATATATTTGATATATATAGTATAATATAATATACATATAGATTAAGTTGTGTCATATATTCAAGCCTATATAGAATACTAATAAGAAGAATTAATTATTATTTATACGGTATAATGAACGATAGAGATTTTCGATTTTGCCACATTATTACAAAAATCATATCTTTTCATTCGAGTTGATAAAGATTGTAGGAGGAAAATTGCGCTAACATAAATCTTGAAACTAATTTCAAAACTCGTAAATACAACATTTTTGCAGGAATGCAATGTGAACCAAGAATTTCAAAATTCTCCCCGTTTCACTCTAAGGTCTTCGTATGTGAACGAAAATTAACATGCTTCCGTTCGATGAAAGAACAGCTCGTTGTCACCGCTTTAAGACAATCATGATGCGATCTCGAAAGTCCCTGCACCAGCTCGTCGACTTATCGACCGGGGTTTATCTGCATTATGCATTCCGTCGCGTGCACTTAAACGCATAACGGGGGGTGCTGTCCAGTCGTTACGACACGACCAGCGCGTTTTTCTAATCGCAATTTGCTGTATCGTATTAATCGTTGGAGATCGCGGTGATAAAAGTGCGCGGTAACATACCGCGCCGCCGAACAATTAAAGATAATATCTCGGTGCCACCCTTTCCCGATTCAAATACTTGCGTAAATCGTGAAAAGAGGAGTGAACTGCGCAGCTACGTGGAGAGATTGGATAAATCGATGTTTTCCCTGCTCTTGGTTAATAGGCGCTACGAAAATTTAGCGATTAATGCAATTAGCGCGCGACTCGACGGCGCCTTTCGGCTCTTTGGCTCTTTGTGAATGATTAAAATGAGCTTTGTTAAAGAGCGGTCTCACACTCGGATATAGTTTCTCAGATTATGGCTGAATATTAACAGCGCGAAAATATATGACAGATAGATGTGTGAAAAAAACATTTATAAATTATTCCAATTTTACTTTAAATATGATAACTTTCAATTACTATAATTATTATGAAAGCAAATGATCCCTTTTTTCATAGGAATGAAATTATTTTAGGAAATAAACTGATTAATTGTGAGTAATGATGAATATTTTGCGTAAACTTGAAAAAATAATTTCTGATGAAAAACGTGCACTGATTCGCCCTCGTTGTAAGTATCCGAAGGCGTTTACAGCGAGGATGTTAGAGATTTTTTGTGGCGAGTGAGTCTGTTTTGGCGTGAAAACTCAATCGTAATGGCCTATAAACGGCAGCCATAAAGATCATAACAGTACATTAAGCCCCGCTATCGTTGGCACGTTGACGCCGCCATTCTGAGATTCGGTCGAAACTTTTACGGTCTAATCCTTCGCCTACCTGCAGCTTCTTCCCGCGCATCCTACGCGAGTTGCCCGGAATGCCTGAAGAAAATTTAAAGCCGCATTACCGAACTCTGCCGTGTACACATCGCATGCTCGGAGCGTGCTATGCTAATAATTTATAGCGCTATCGATGTCATTGCAACCTAAGGCGCATATTTGAATTTACAAACCGTCTTCGAACCGAGATTCGGTATATAAACGTGTTCCATGTATTATTTTATCTATTCTTATCTGTTTTTTTATACCTCCGAGAGCAATAAATAATCATCGGTTTTCTCCACCAGAATTATTGGAGTTTAAGAAAAATATCTTCAAACAATTATTTTATGATAATTTAATATATGCGCGTATTTATATGCGAGACATCTCCTAAACATATTTTAATCGAACAATAAAACATGTGAAAATTATTTTCATTAGTGAACTATTGTATACAGTATAAGACGACAGTATATCAAAAGAGATTTCCAAAAAGATTGATCATAACTTTTGTTTCTTCATTTATATTTTCTGATACTATCTGAAAGGCTCGAACCCTTTCGTAATGCCTTAACACCCTCGCGGAACAGGTGACGAAATGTTCATCATATGCAAGTGACAGCCGACGTGACGGGAGGAAGAAGGAGAGAGGTCTTTCTTTTTTCGCGGATGGGTCCTCGCGAGAGAGAGAGAGAGGGTCCCTCTGTAAACTCAATTTTCCAACGCGTGCGAGATAAGGGTCGGTCTCTTCCGCAAGCTCCACCGCCGGCCGTCGCTGGCTGCCACCCTCGTCACTTTGATATCGATGAGGGTAATTTACGCGAACATTGTTGGCGAAGAAGATTGATGCGTCGAGTGCGTGCGAGGGCACCGAGAGAGTCGCACCCATCGAGCCAGACCGCGCCTCCCAGCACCGTTTCCTCTACTATTCTTTCTCTATGTCTATAGTTCTGCCTGCAGCATGATGAATTGCATTTCGACACCCTGCACGGCCCTGCGAACGATTGTCCTGCGAGACTGCTCCGTCATTCGACGTATTATTGCCGCGCGTGAAACTGCCGACACTTCCGCGTTATCGCGATCAAATGACGCCGATGAGCAATACACTTCTCTCTTTTCTCTTTCTCTCTCTTTTTTTTTCTTACAGCGAGAAAATTGATGACGTTGGCATCAACATTTTCGAAGCAAATTGGTATGTGTTATCGTGTAATCGTAATAGAACGGATTTCATTGAGATTTTATGCTGATGTCAAAAGTGAATTCACGCTTAATTATTGTTGGGTATAATAGTGTGCGAGATATAAACTCATTTTCTTCATTTTAAATAGAATAGTTTTATGACAATGCTCGATAAAATCCAACTGTTTTATTATAGTATCTTTTTATGGTTCTTCATAAAAAGGGAGAATTAAGATTTTCTATGAAAAGCTGATTTATGTCAGCATTTTACTTTTGTCGACTGATATTATTATTCTGTTCGATGTCTCATTCATACACATAACTTCATATAGATTTATTTAACTTGTATTATTATGCGATATGATGGCTGCACATTTTGTGTAAAGCGAAAGCGAGATAGAATAAAATAAAATAACCTCGAGAATGAATGAACGAAATGCGAGAAGCAGAAACGTGAAAGGTAAACGGAATTTCAAGAGATTCGGATGTGATGCATAATGCGTAAACACATGTATATTTTCGCCTAAATTTTGTTTATATTGTCCTTGTATCGAAGCTGCTAAATATTCGAAACGAAAATAGAAAAGCCTAAAAAGAAGCTTATCACTCTCTAGATCAGAGAATAATAAATGAAGGGAACGAGCGAGATGAGCTCCAATCTTTTCGATCACGACAGCATCGAAATAGCTACGAAGACACGTGTATGCGCGTGCATAGTACGGTCTCAGTCCTAGAATGATGAACAGATACGAGATTATTATTAGAGCGAAGCAAAAGCTCGAGCTCTCTATATGCGTTTTCGCGTGACTGCTTGTCATTCAAGCTTTTCGCATCTAATTACTGCGCGCCGATGAAAACACACTTTTAATTTTATCGTATCCACGGTATACCTCTATACGCTACTTCAATTACCTTTTTTCCCTGTAAATTAAAACGATAAAGAAATATTTTTCATCGTGGAAAATAATGACGAGTAGAAACGGCACTTTTTCTGTAATTAAACGTGAAATACTATAACAACATATAAAAAAAAGATAAAAATTTTATATCGACTCTCTGTCATATTGTTGAAGTATCTAATATATTTGACAATGTCGTTAATAGAGTATAAAATACTAAAGAAACGTCCTATATTTTTTTTTTCAAGAAATATGTGCTTTTCGTGGTTTCTCATGCGTCAGACTAAAACCATGCCATAGAGTTCATGATATCGGAGATTCCAACATACTTAACTATTCGATTGTCTCCTGCACAACGGCTTGCAAAGTTGCCGTCTGTGTGCCGATAGCCGCGAGGCGCTGGAATACGCAATCGCGACGCACAAACATTCACGTGGAATACGGTCCTAAGCTTATTCGCGGCGTGCTAAAAAATTCATGGGAGTATCAAACTTTAAGTATCCGGCAAAGATCTCCGGGCTGGGAGATTGGCGCTGAAACATACGGAGGGAAACACGTTGTACCGCAGACGCGCATAAAGGGAGGAAATGCATATATATACGTATTCGTTGCAGAGAAAAGTCATAAAATCCGTGCGTAAATGCATATTGATTTATGCGGCAGAAAAG